CTTATCTTTCTTTTGAAATATGAGCCAACAGATTTTCTAGAGATAACAAGAAGACAAAATTTTTGATAGTCAAAGTGAGCCAAAGAGAAATGATTGTGGTAAGGCTGGCTTTGGGTTGGAAGGAACAGGGTCATGTCCACACATGGGTCTACAAACTTGTTGCTGCCTCTAAACATGTTGGTTGGGTTGGAAACAGGACCAGGACAGGTGTGTGATGGCATCTCTCCACCGAAACTGCTGCCACATTTAAGAGTGTTCTACAGAATCATTACCAAACACACAAGGCAAGTGTTCTATAGAATCGCTACCAAATGTGCAGGCTGAGTGTTCTACAGTGTTGTCACCAAATGCACAGAGAGAGTGTCTTACAGTATTGTCACCAAATGCACAGGCTGAGTGTTCTACAGTATTGTCACCAAATGCACAGAGTGAGTGTCCTACAGTATTGTCACCAAATGCACAAAGAGAGTGTCTTACAGTATTGTCACCAAATGCACAGGCTGAGTGTCCTACAGTATTGTCACCAAATGCACAGGCTGAGTGTCCTACAGTATTGTCACCAAATGCACAGAGTGAGTGTTCTATAGAATCGCTACCAAATGTGCAGGCTGAGTGTTCTACAGTGTTGTCACCAAATGCACAGAGAGAGTGTCTTACAGTATTGTCACCAAATGCACAGGCTGAGTGTTCTACAGTATTGTCACCAAATGCACAGAGTGAGTGTCCTACAGTATTGTCACCAAATGCACAAAGAGAGTGTCTTACAGTATTGTCACCAAATGCACAGGCTGAGTGTCCTACAGTATTGTCACCAAATGCACAGGCTGAGTGTCCTACAGTATTGTCACCAAATGCACAGAGTGAGTGTTCTATAGAATCGCTACCAAATGTGCAGGCTGAGTGTTCTACAGTGTTGTCACCAAATGCACAGAGAGAGTGTCTTACAGTATTGTCACCAAATGCACAGGCTGAGTGTTCTACAGTATTGTCACCAAATGCACAAAGAGAGTGTCCTACAGTATTGTCACCAAATGCACAGAGTGAGTGTCCTACAGTATTGTCACCAAATGCACAAAGAGAGTGTCTTACAGTATTGTCACCAAATGCACAGGCTGAGTGTCCTACAGTATTGTCACCAAATGCACAGAGTGAGTGTCCTACAGTATTGTCACCAAATGTACAAAGAGAGTGTCTTACAGTATTGTCACCAAATGCACAGGCTGAGTGTCCTACAGTATTGTCACCAAATGCACAGGCTGAGTGTCCTACAGTATTGTCACCAAATGCACAAAGAGAGTGTCCTACAGTATTGTCACCAAATGCACAGGCTGAGTGTCCTACAGTATTGTCACCAAATGCACAGAGTGAGTGTTCTACAGTATTGTCACCAAATGCACAGAGTGAGTGTCCTACAGTATTGTCATCAAATGCACAAAGAGAGTGTCTTACAGTATTGTCACCAAATGCACAGGCTGAGTGTTCTACAGTATTGTCACCAAATGCACAGAGTGAGTGTCCTATAGTATTGTCACCAAATCCACAGAGTTCTGCAGCGCTGCTGCAAAACGACGCAGGATGAGAGCAGGCGCGCAGAACTGTTTATTTCTGAAGACTTAGACACTTGTTAGAGTTTCTAATCCATGAGGGCACCTGTAACAACATGCCCCAGATAGGCCTTTAACCATGGAGCTTTGTTTTCAGACTGTGGTGACGGCAGCTCGAGATGCTGACCGGGATGGTTTCTGGTGAGGGTTCTTCTGGGCTCATGAATGACTGCTTTCCTGCTCTGTCCTCACAGGAAAAAAGAGACAGGCTGGGCCTCTGGTGTCAACTCTCAGTGGGACACTTTACGTCTAAACCTAGTTGTTTTCTAAACTCTATCGCCAATGCCTGGCAGCCAACACCTCAAGAGGTAACTTTGTCAGGGCGCAGTTCAATCCACAGCGGCTCTTAGCTAATACCAGGTATTGTTTGTTTTATCTTCAAAAATAAGTGATTTGTCAGAAATTCACTCTCTAGACTATGAAACAGCAGACTTCTTCTCTAAAAGGAACTTATGGAAGGAACACTCTAACCGTCACAAACCATATGGATTCCATTGGGACAACTCAATTCTAACAATAAGCCACAGAAGACATATAGATAATATGTAAACAATCGGGTACGGCTGTGTTTCAATAAGACATTGTTTACAAAACTGGATAGGGACCCAGATCTGGCCCGTGAACTACTTTGAAGACACTTTTCTGAACACTAGCCAGAGGGCTCAGAGCATTATTATGAATTTTGACCACAGCCATTTTACGTGACCAGCAAAGCCCTGCCACTACTCTTAAGGGAGGCCAGTGGCGCACCCTGCCTTTCTCTGAGGTTCAACACCCAGTCACATTTGCTGAGGTCCTAAGCATTTTGCACACTGACCGCTTCATGGCTTACAGTTGGGATTTCACTGATTATTCGATCCCAAGTGGTCAGCTCTAAACACGTTTGCATGGGCAATGCCAAATAGACTCAGTAGGGTGTCTCTAATAATTAAAGGAGAAGAAGCCATGAATCTGAGACAGAGGGGGGGGGCAGAAATGGTTGGTGTGGGGATGGGGTGGAAATGATGAAACCCTAAAAATTTAAATATTTAAATTTTTAAAACTGATAACTAATCTAATACCTTGTCTAATACCTTGCCCACTGCAAACCCTGAGCCTCACAGCCAAGAGGGATCAGCCATAGTTTGCTGTCCAAGCTCTTCGGGGGCACCTGCAGGACAGGTGACTGTCATACCTGGGGCTGCATTTAACCTGTAACTGTTGGACACTTATCTCATTGAGATTCTAGTTACTGTTTTAGGCACCAAAGGCTCAGTAAAACTGTCCCCGAACCACAGATCCTGCTGTTTGATCATTTATGAGCTACACAGAATCCAGTCTGAAGGCTCTATAACCAGACACTTGTGACAATTCTGTCCTGGGTGATCAGGTACTGGACACAGACGCTGATGCTCCTGCTCGTGATGGCTCTAGATGCTTATCTCACATCCTCACGGGTTCCCACAGTGTGAGGAAAGGGTGGACAGGGAAAGAAAGGATTCTCTCTGAGTCGTTCTGTGCTGAAAGCCACACTGTATGTTGCCACGTGCGCTACCTCCTACCTTGACACAAACCTAGTGGGCAGACGGTGATCTTTTTCTTTGACCAGCTAGAAAATTATGGCTGTTTACTTAACTTGTCTTACATATTTATTTTTTGGTTTTTCCAAAGTAGCTCTGACTGTCCTGAAACTCACTCTGTAGACCAGGCTGGCCTCAAACTCAACAGAGATCTACCTGCCTCTGCCTCTCGAGTGTTGGGATGAGAGGCGTGCACCACCACCTTTGAAATAGAGACAAAGCTAAAATTTTCTTTTGTCCTATACTCTCCCTCATCCTGAAAATTCACGTCCACAAGAACCTGTGAACGTCAGCCTTACGTGGGAAACAAGTTGGGGCAGATGTACTAAAGGTCATACATTAGAGTCATTTAGGAGTGCCCCTAAATCTAATCTGATTGATGGAATCCTTATGAGACAGAGAAATTAAGACACAGAGAGGAGGTAGCTGCCTGGAGACAGAGACTGGAGTTACGTTGCCACAGACTACACACTCCTGGGGCCACCAGAAACTGAAAGAGGGAAACATTCTCCCCTCGCATCTCCAGAGACAGCGCTATACACCAGCCTCTTGGTTTTCACCTTCCTACCCTGTATAATGACAGAACAAATTGCTACTGTTTTAAATTACTCAGTTTATGGTGCGATACAGTTGGTCCCCATTATTTGCTATTTTTACTACCAGCTAAAAGAGGGGAATCTAAACTCAGCCGTGTCTGTGAGGCATTTTTTTGGTTGATGCCTGATGAGGGAGGACCCAGCTCACTGTAGGTGGTGTCACTACTGAGCAGCCGATCCTGGGTTCTATAAGAAAGCATCCTGAGCAAATCATGAGGAGCAAGCTAGTAAGCAGCATTCCTCTGTTGCTAGGGTGTGTAAACCAGATAAACCCCCGCCTTTCCCAAGCTGTTAGGTAAAATATACGAGGCTCTGTGCCATGTGCTTGTTGCAGCTCTCGTGAACACATAAGCTCACTATAACCCAGGCTCATGGTTTTCTGATTTCTATTTGTGATTCTGCTGTTTAAAATGCTCACGTGCATATCGAAGACTCTCTAACGTCCCAGAGAACAAGAAAGCTGCCACGTGCCGACTTACAGAGAATTTTCATTTTATTGTCTTTTTTCCAGACATAATGTTATGACACAACTTGTCGTGAGGTTAGTGGGTGTCTTTAAATATTTTATTTTAATTATGTGTATAGGTGTATCCCTGTGTGGCTACATGCACGTGAGCTCATTGCAATAGGATGCCAAAAGAGGGTGTTAGACCCTCCAGAGCCAGAGCTGTGGCCCCCATGTGAATGCCGCATTAGAATTCTAGAGCTGGGATTATGAGCCCCCAGTGTAGGTGTAGGGACTGGACTTGGTTCCTTAACAAGAACACTATACACTTTTAATGACTGAATCAATGTCAATGAATCCTGTGTGTGTCTGTGTATGTATATATGTCTTTGTATGTCTCTGTGTATATGCCTGTGTGTGTTTGTGTGTGCATATCTGTGTGTGACTATGTGTGTGTCCGTGTATGCATGAGTCTGTGTCTGTATGTGTGCCTATGTGTCTGTGTGTCTGTGTATGTGTGTGTGTCTGGGTGTCTTTGGCCTGTTTGTCTATGTGTCTGTGTGTGTTTAAACAGAAACTCACATAAACAACATCACACGTTGGTTGCTTCTCAGAAATTGTGACAAAGACACAGAAGCTGAGCCCCGTATTTCCCCTAGGGGTCAAATGTCTGTATTTACTACTTCATTGTCTGCAGGAACTTCCTAGCAGAACAACCGTAAGTGATGAAAATCAACTGTAGTGTTTGTTTCTTATAACAGCCTTAGAAAACCCAAACAAGCCTTTCTGGACTTACCCAGGACCTTGCAGGCTTCTTGGATGAGCTTAATGGTGATGCTGTCGTCGTACACGGTGTAGGTCATGAAGGCGTCTTGCACTTCTGCAGAAGCCCTGAAAGATGCAACAAGTGCAGTTGAGCACTGGTCCGCAGGAGCTGAGTCCCAGGACAGTCGCTGACCCAGCAATGTATGGTACAGCAAGCATTGCATTCAGGGCCCTAAGCACTGTGACTGTGTGGATGTTGACTCCTGCTGAGTGCATCCTCTGGACTCCAGTTTGAGCCTGAATAGGCTCAACTTAGATGAAGATGGTTAGTCTACCCACCGCCACCCCTGCTGGACTCCTCGAGGGTGGCTACAGTCATTCGCCCTTTATTTCTGAATCCCAGAAAATGGCACTGGTCCTGACACGCACATTCCAGGATCCTCAAACAGACAAGGGGTACTTGGGTCTGCAGTTGAATCTCTGGATTCCCTACAGGATTCCTGGTTTGGGTCCAATGGTTTCTAAGAATTATTACGTGCAGTTGGAATAGATGAGGAGGCTGGGGCCGGTGCGGAGTTGCTGCAAACCCTCACTACTGCTACGAAAATGGGGTATTCTCCACTATGTTGGAGTGGCCTCTCCACCCAGGCCACCAGGTGCCTTGTGAACCAAAAACTAACAGGCCAGACCCTAATTTATACTAGATCCATGGCCACAACCTGAGATGAAGGCTCGAAGGGAGGCGATGTAAATCCCAGGCCCTTACAAAGATTGGCCGAGGCTGTCCTCACCTCGCCCCCACTTCACTGTCCAGGTCACACAGCCTCTTCCTTCCTGCAGGCTGAGCTGACAATACTGTAGTGTCGGGTGTTTTTCTGGTTTGTATACATGCTATACGTTGCTGGGGTGGCAGACATGCTAACAGCTAGGACTTCTGGCCTCATTCCAGGTCTCTAATGCTGCATGCAGCGGTCACCACAGCCACGGCACACTGGGACACATAATCTGTCAAAATCCTTTTGGGACACAGTGTGCTGGCCAATAGTTTATTCAAAAAATAAACAAATAGACATTTTAAATGAGATGACCAAACTTCTGCTAAGAAGGGAGGAAGAAAAATGACAGTGGGAGACATCTCAGAGAAACCAGGACTTGAGAGAGCAAGTGGAAAGAGACATGAAGAGGACACTCAACATGTAATGTCAATGCCAGTCATACATACAAGGGCTCACCTCCACACCTCCACACATGCAGGGGCTCACCTCCACACATGCAGGGGCTCACCTCCGCACATGCAGGGGCTCACCTCCACCCATGCAGGGGCTCACCTCCGCACATGCAAAGACTCATCTGCACACACACACACACACACACACACACACACACACACGCATGCATGGTCTCACCTCCACACTCAAAGGCCATTGACTAATTGATATTTTACTGGAACACCCAGGGTTCCTCATTAGTGAATAACACCTAGTGTTATCCAAACTATCTATGTGGCAAGCCAGGGCTGGCTGCCTGGCTCAGAATAACTTGAGGAGAAAAACAAAAACACACACACACAAAATAAAACAAAAACACGCAGGCAGGCTCTGAGTCTTATCTTTTAACCACTTGTCTCTTGTTTCTCAAAGCTGAGAAACTGCAGCTCCCCTATACTTTCTAGATTCAACACAGAAAGGAAACGGGTGACAAATGACGGACCTTACATTATTCAGCTGATGTCATAGTTTGTTAGAGTCCAGGGTGAGTCATAAAGGTCCCAGGAGACACGAGAAGTTCTTCAAGGCAAGTCTTGGGCCACGGAAATGGGGTGGACTTAAGCACTGGGAAGGCGTTCTTTCAAGAACCCCTTACAGCAGTAAGGTTTGCCTACAGCTGTACTGGGGACAAGGAGATGAGGAAAACTGGAGCGTATATCCCGTCCTGACTATCTGTCCCTCTAGCCCATCCCTCCCCTGTAGTGGCATTTCATTTGTATTTTAATAAATAAAGCTCGCCTGAAGATCAGAAAAGTAAAACAGCCACACTGGCCAGCCTTACAGACCAGGCAGTGGTGACACACACCTTTAATCCCAGTAGCCACACTGGTTTGCCATAGAAACCAGATGGTAGTGGTGCACACCTTTAATCTCAGAACTAGAGAGGATATAAAATGGGGGGAGACAGCTCTCAGTCTTATTCTGAGGTTCCCTGGAGGCAGGATCGCTATTTTCGAACTGAGGTTGAGGTAAGAGCCAGTGGCTGGCTGTTTTGCTTTTCTGGTCTTCAGGATGAACCCCAATATTTGTCTCTGGGTTTTTATTAACTGTGCTACAGTCCCCAGTTCCTCTAGAGTCCTTGGCAGCATCCAGACTTAGCTAGACATTTTTGGCCCTCCCTCCCATACTCCCCAGCCAACCCCCTGCTGCTTGGACCCCTCTAGCTGCTCACAATGCCTTCCCTGCCTTCCACAGGCTCCCTCCACCAGAAGGGTGCCCACTCTCTCTAACCTGGCCAACTTACTTCCTCTTTCCTCTGGTTATTGTGAGTCTCATGAGCGTTCATGTATCCACCCCCTCCACGGTCCCCAGCGCCTGCACACCTGCCTGGGCATGGACAAGTCCTGACACCTATGAATGACTCTCTGATGCTTCTTACATCCCAAGTCTAAAGACCAGGCTGTGTCCTTTGATTTCATATCTCCAATATCTGACACTGTCCCTGGCACACAAATAAAAACTGATAAACACTTAAAAGAGGATTTAGGATTTGTATATGTGTGTGTGTGTGTGTGTGTGTGAGAGAGAGAGAGAGAGAGAGAGAATCTTATAACTTAGCATGGCCTCAAACTCAATAGAAAACTGAGCATGACCTTGAACTTCTGACCCTCCTGTCTCTACCTCCTGAGCAGAAGGATTTTAAGCATGTGCTACCCTGCCTAGTTTATGTGGTGCTAGGGATGGAACCACATAACCATGCTAGGGCTCTACCCACTGAGCTACAGGGCCATCTCAGTCTCAGAAGTTTTGATAAAAGATACAAATCAACAGAGGCTCTTATCCTCGCTGCGAGAGTCAGGAAGAGATCCGTATTTTGGCTAGTGCTCCACCACTGGGCTTGTCGCCTACCCCCTTTTGTTGTTTTTGTTTTTAGGCAGGGCCCCACTAAGCTGCCCATCCTGACGTTGAACTCCATCTGTAGTCCCATAGACCTTGAACTCACTGTTGTTCCATCCCATACCAGCTACTTTTATAAAGGAAAGTCTCTAGTCAAGTAAGCTTCAGACCTCAAAATGCCTGTTTCTCATCCTGCTAAATTCGCCCCCAATATTGTTGACAGAGGTTTCTGTCCCACCCTGTCCTGCAGCCATTCAGTCCCAAAGAAACACACAGAAGTTTACATTAATTATAAACTGGTTGGCCTATTAGCTCAGGCTTCTTATTAACTCTTAAAAGTTCACCCTGAGAAAGGCTTGGTGCCACACTGGGAGCCTGATCACCCAGTGTATTTGCCAACCAGCTAATCAAGACTATTGATTTAAACCTGTGTCTGAGCATCTCCTCTGGTGAATACCCCACCACCAGGGCCATTTATCCTCTTCACTTGAAGAAGCCCAGGGGTTAGTAACCTGTGCTCACTGGAAAGAAATGTCAATGCCTTCCTATCTTCTACACATATTGATGCTCTGATCCCTAAAAACCTTCTCCCCTTTTACCTTCTCTCAGACAGCACACGTGTGATACTCCAGGCACGGTGGTTGCTTCCCACCAAGCTCAGCTCATCTCAGATCTTTTACATTGGCTGTTCCCTCTTTCTGGAGCACACACACTTTCCTGACCCAGCTTGGCTCTTTCCTTCCAGTTCATAGATTCTCGTTGTCTGAGTTTTCTGCCCTGCCTGGTCCCCACAGTCATTAAGTCCCCCACCCCAAAATCACACAGAAGTCTACATTAACTATAAACTGATTGGTTTAGTATCTCAGACTTCTTATTAACTCTTACAACTCATATTAGCCCATTATTCTTATCTGTGTTAGCCACATGGCTCGTTAACTTTTTTAGTGGGGCAGTCATATCTTGCTTCTTCTGTGGTCTGGTCAGGACTGCAGAGGAATGGGCTTCCTTCTTCCCAAAATTCTCCTGTTCTCTTTGACCCGCCTCTACTTCCTGTCTGGTGGTCCCACCTATACTTCCTGCCTGTCTATTGGCCAATCAGCGTTTATTTAAAATATAATTGACAGAATATAGACATTTGTCCCACACCATATTCCCTCTCCAAAGAGTCTGTTTCTATACCTTACAGGGAGACCTGCATCTTTAAGCAGTCTCTTTCAAATGCTTTACGTTTGTATAGCTCTCTGAGCAACCTGAAAAGTTTTTTGTTTATTGTTTGCTTTCTGTTCCTCACACTAGACTCCATTTCCTGACACAGTCCCTGAGTCTTCTCATCACTTCCTTCCCCAATGCTTGTACCTCTGCTCGGCACATGCTAGGAGCTGAGCAAGCTCCTGCCTCATGGAGAAAGTGGCCCAGCTCAGCCAGTGAGCAATCTGGGCATAGTTTGGAGACAAAGCTTACCCCAAAGGTCCCACTCTTCCCAGACTATCAGCTGCCTCCACTGTTGAGGTTTAGGCCAGGAGGTTACAAAAGCGTGGCTCGGAATTAGAAACCTATAAATCTAGACTATATGAGAGGAAAATCAGCAAGGCCAGCAGAGAAGGACACACATCTGTTTCTGATTATTCCATATAAAATATAATCTATGTCATAACGTCTGGAGACATAGTTCACTTTGCCTAATCATTTCTTCTTAAATTTTGTATGGGAATTGATGGCTTTTTCCCCCCTTTCAGCAAAAATTCTGCTTTAAGAGCACCAGGGAATTTGTTGTTTAAACACAGCCCAAAGGAGATCCTTCGGCGCAGCAAACAATCTTGGCTCGGTTTCGATTTATGTTTGTAAGCTGAGTTTTCTGCTCTGTGAAGTTCTTTTTCATAGTATTCCCTAAATGAATCCAGTTTCCCAGCTAGCTGTGCTTCTCGAATAGGCCTTCCTCTTGGCTTTTCCTGTGTAGTCGCATAAACTGCTAAACACCGTGTAAACACATCCTCAAGTCTAGGTTAAGCAGACACTCCTGCT